CGCAGAGATTCGGACCCTCACCTCTCTCCAGGCCTTCCGAAAAGCCGCTAAAACTTGGCTGTGTCGGCAGGCCTGGGGTCGATGAGCTCCCTTCCCCTCTCGAATCGTGTGGCTGTTGGTTGTTTTAAATGCCTTGTACTTTTTGTAGTTTTTTTGTGTTTTTCCCTTTCCCCTCCTTGGGTTTGTGCGCCGCCCTGAGTCCCGCCGGGAATAGGGCGGCATATAAATAAAATGAACCTTGAACCTTGAACCTTCATTGAGCTGTTGCTTTATTTGCTGATTTTTCTGATCCATATTTTTTCCCTGTTCATGTTCCATTTGTTGACTTAAATAGTCCACTACATCCAATCTTTCTGTTGCTTCCACCAGTTCATGGGCAGTTTGGTTTTTCTTCCTTGTTCTTTGCAAAATGCTTTCCACTTTCTGATCCATACCATTGACTAAATTCATAATATCTTGGAATAACAAAGTCATCTCATTAAGAAATCCTCTCATTTCCACAGCTCTTCCTTCAACTCCAGTCATAATAGCGATACAAGTGGAATAAACAATCATGCCTCAATTGAATTCAGAGAGTCCCAAATCCTAGAAGTATGCTTTGTTAAATGGAGCTCTCCTCTCAAATGTCCATACTGCCTTTTTCCCAGCAGATATTTGCTTCACTCAATCTCCATTTCGTTCAAAACAAGGTAAATTGTTTAAATGGACACATTCCAGCATTTACTCAATACTCTGATAGTCCAAGATATTTTCCAAGTTCTTTAAGTCTACTCCGGTTTTGGTCTTTTATTGTAGCTTCCCAGTGTCTCTTTTATAACATTTCTTTCTTATTTCTGCTTCTGGTAAGCATAAAATAATAAACAGTTAAAAATCACAACCACCAAATGTCAAGTATTTTCTCCTCTGTAAGTTTCCAGGAGTCACTTTTTCTTTCATAACTAGATGGCACTCTCAATTTACTTTTCAGCATAAATTTGTTTTAAAATATTTTCTTCCAGCCCTTTAAACAGTTATATTTTTAAAGTCTCTTCTCTAGGATTCCCCCCTCCCCCCCCTTGGGGTAATTTGTAAAGGAAAAAAAATCTTACTCAGCAACACAGTCTCTGTTCACTGCTCTCTTCGCTTCTGCAATGTCTTAGGTATTCTGGCTGTCGCCAACTTCATGGCAGCCATTTTGATTGCTGTCGCTCCTCTTCTTTGGATGGGGGGATTTTCCAAGTCAGGGAGGAGAGATGTAGCTCTGTACTGTAAATCATTTGATGATTTTTCACTTCTGGCCTCAATTGCATTAATTCAAATAGTCTTAAACAGTCAAAATCCAGCCTTCAGTTTCTTTTTTTTTTAATGTTCCAGTTGATAAGCCATTGCCAGGTTTTATCTTTAGCCACCTTTCCCTCAATCTTTTGTAGTAATTAACCACGTAATACTTTTCCTTGCCAGCATTACATTTTGTCTTTATTATACTAGCTTGATATTCATGTTTTGTTTCCTGTACTCTCTATATAAGTTCCAATTTTTAACTTGCATCAATGCTTGTTCTTTGCTATCTTTTACATAACCAGCCATTACATAGTTTTCATCTTTGACAATTGTTTTTACTTGAAATAAATTTCTGCTTCCATTTCTGCAGGACAGATATAATATATATACTACGGGGGTATAATGCATAGTGAATAGTAACAGTTTTCTTGTTTTTCAAGCCCAACTGTGCAGTTCAGCTTACATCCAATTAATTCCAGTAGTGTATTGTATCACAGGGATGGCCCAGGTATCGATCGCTTTGATGGTGTTTTCACCATTCAATTTTGTCTTTAGTATTTTTCTCACTCTTTGGATATGATGCTAACTAATCACATTTTTAATTTGTCTGCTTAGCCAATTGTAAATATTAAATACTGTGAAGACAGAGGAAGCGTGGAACAGCTGAGGTATTTTTATTTTTGATTAAACAGACAAACACAACACAAAAAAAATCATCTTATTGTAGAAGTGTGTTGATTGGTTACAAATAACTTTCGTGCATCTCTTCCACAGTCATTACTTATAGTTCACATCACATTATATATTTTAAATAAAAAATCTTAATATATCTTACTATCAATTTATCACAATTCTCATTTGACTATGGTTGTTTTAACGTCCTTTTGCATGAAATAATCCAAAATTAAAAGCACAACAACATAATGACATTTCATTAATTATTTCTAATATCAGCCAATAACATTGCCATATATATATATAGGTCTTTGGTTATTCGGGTTTTCTCCCGCGTAAAATTGGAGGTGTCTTGGCGACGTTTCAACGAAGTCTCATTCGTCATCTTCAGACTTCGTGCTTCCAGGAGCAAAGCATTTGTCGAAACGTCGCCAAGACACCTCCAATTTTACGCGGGAGAAAACCCGAATAACCAAAGACCTACATACTAACACCCGCGAAAACCTCAGAAAACAAATTATATATATATGTATGTATGTATGTATGTATGTATGTATGTATGTATGTATGTATGTATACACCTTGTCATTTCATTGTTATTGTTACAATTATTATTTATTAATAGAAATTCATTCACTAATTATATCAGGTTTCCTCTCATCAAACCAATACATGTGTACATTGTTATCGTTATCAGTTATTTATTTAACATAGCACTCTAAAAATTACTAAATTGCTAATCACTAATCATATTATAGAAGTGTGTCGGCTGATTACAAATAGCTTTCATGCATCTCTTCCACAGTCATTACTTATTGTTCATATCACATTGTATATTTTAAATCGAAAATCTTTATATATCTTACTATCAACATACACAATTCTCATTTGACTATAATGATTTTAACATCCTTTTACGTAAAATAGTCCAAAATTAAAAACACAACCACATAATAGCATTTCATTAATTATTTCTACCATCCAATAACATTACCCCTTTATAACATGTTCTAAGTAAACATATGTACCAACACATGTATATACCTTATTATCAATTATTTATTTAACATAGCACTCTAGAGATTACTAAGAGTTCCTGTCCATCTAATTCCCTTTTCCATACTCCCCTTTTTCCACTTTCAACCACGTTCACTCCACTAGTAAAGTCATCAGTTGTCTTGTCTTTATAATCATTTTCCTCTTCAATTTTTGGGACTCTGACCCCATCATTTTTTGCTGTTATAAACTCTAGTTTTTCCATCTTCTTCTCAATTCTCTCTGTTGCTTCTAATAAATTTTGAATTCAAGCCATAATGTTTTGCAGAGTTAAGGTTTCTTTTGAGTAATGTGCCATTTTAACAAACTGGTACATAGTCCACTCTGGCTTTCAAAGCTTCTTATATTAAATTAGCTTAAACGCAAATTCATTTATGATCTTCAAAAAAGAAGGTTCTGTTTCTTTTTCTCTCCCACTGCCAGTAAGGCTCTCAGAATGCACCTGTATAAACAATTCGTGCTTTTACTTCTTATCACTTTCTATAAACAAGTTGCAGAACCTTGAAATACAAAGTCAGTGAGATCAAAAGGAAAAGGGAAAGTTCATTATTTCAAAAGCTCAAGCCTCCAGCCTCCAAGAGGCAGTATTGCTTCCCACTCTCTAATATTATTTCAAATTCAAAAGAAACAAAGTTCTTAAATGGAATTAATAGCAAGAAGTAAAAGTCTTTGTTAAAATAACAAAGAAGATTTTAATCCATAAATTAAGAAATAAAAATAGAAAAATACAAGAAGAATAACTAATCCATTCTCTTTAAAAAAAAGTTGCAAGCACTTCAATCCACAAAGTAGAATTACAAAGAAAAAGAAAAGAAAAACACACTATCCAAAGCAATCCAATATAGGTTAATTTCACCGCTTGTTTTCTTCTTTCGGATTTAATTTAACTTAAAAAAGATTTTTTGGGCAGTCTTTTCCAAAACAGTAAAGATTCCTCACTAGATGGACACACTTTCTTTTTCCGCTTCCCTTCCATTCTGGAGCCATCCCAACTTCATCAGCCTGGGGCTGAGGTTTTTGTCACCAGCTTGAACAACTTCTCTTGGATCGATCAGGGACTTTGCAGTGTCCTTGAGATCAGCAAGATGTATTCTTCCTGTTCACCGTCTCTAAGGGACGGTTTAGGTCCAATTGGACCGTCCAGTGGCAAAAATTCACTGGCTGTCTTGGAGCAATTGAGACAGCACGTCCGTATTGTTGTGATGTTGGCTCCTCCTCCCCCTGATTATTTCTAACATAGCAGTTTCATGCTGGAATTTTTAGTGGAAGATGTTGAATAGCTGTGACCTTTGTCCCATTAGCCTAATGCCCTTGAAAATGGAAAGGATGGTTCCATCTATTTGCTCAGTTAGTTTTATATTTCTATTTTTTTTCTAATGTGCCAGCAATTGGGGAAATGTGGGCAGGGGAAAGCAGCTAGATTAGGAATAACTTACGTGATAATAGCTCTTCCAAAGAACAAATGAAAACTGGAATGTATGTATGCATTTCAACATTTTCTATGCAGGGTGGGCCAACGACTTGGTGGACTGACATGCATAACCAACATCATGCCAAACCCAACTGTTTCTTGAAGGATCCTGATCTCAATATGCACCCATTTCTCTTCACCTTAGGGAAGTCTCTCTCTGTGGAGGTGAGTACAGTTTAGGTAACCATATTCAAAATATTATGACTGCCTGAACATCTTGCAATCAGACATAGGTAGCCAGGGGCTTGTGAGCTGCATGAAGTGCCTGATTCCCCTTACTCATTTACTTTTGAAGTTTCCCAAACCTCCAGGTTTCCACCACTAAGATCCAGCAACATAGTGCAGTAGATATGCTGTGCCCTTTGCTGCAGATTTTCAAAAGACAAATAAAAACTTCTTCAAGCTGCCTGGTCTGAAATTTCTCTGCTAAATGCAAAAACACTTGGAAAAAAAACTTGGTTGTTCTAATCTGTATGGTATTATTATGCCATTCACAATATTTATGAACTTCCAGAAACACAAAAACATTACTGCAAATATTACTGCACCCTTCATCTACTAGACATAATAAAGTTTCCTATCCCTGCTATCCACTTTTGTCCAGATGGGATCAATCAGGTCACTTCATATTTAAGGCCACAGAAACAAGCTAGGTAGAAATTTATAGAGAGAATCCATTTCACAGCAATTCCACAGTATTGCTGTGGAAGCACTCTTCACCCTCCAGGATAATAAAACTGCTTATTCTATTTTCATTTTTGCCCAGATGGGATAAATCAGGTCACTTCATATGTAAAGCCATGGACAAAATCTGCCCTTAATGAGGAGAACCAGTCACTTTTTACACTTCTTGAGCTGAACTGTAAAGAAGAGAGGTTATTAAGTATATTGTCAGGGTTCCAAGAAACGACCCCATTTCATAACAGAACTCTGAGGCAGATTCTCAAAGAACAGTTTTTATTTTAGAGACATCATCTTGGCATCAACTGGTGGAAAGCCAACTCTGAGCTTTCCCGGGCTTTACACCTAGATAAAAGTGAAAGTTTCACTTTCTCCCAAAACAATAACTCACACTATCCAATCCGGGCACTGGCTGGTTACCTGGCAACTCCTTCCTCCACCTCCAGCCAACCAGTAGTTGGAATGTCCTTGACCTAGGAATGAACTAGTTTGTTTCAGATACAAATTACCCCACCCCCTCTCAGTTCCAAGCTTCGTCAAGCCTGAAGCAAATTTTAAAAAAAAACTTAATGGAATTTCAGAAAAGGAAAATCTCCCACAGCTAGAACAGGTTTGGGGTTGACATCTATCCTGTAGAGTGATTTATTTTGTCCTTCACTCAACTGTGTTTTTGTTACAGCTTGGAAAAAAGAAAAAGAAATACATGCCTTACCAGCACCAGCACAAATATTTTAGCTGTGAGTACTTCTGCCATTTTGCACCAAAAATTTAGTCCAACTAGAAATACCAGGACCAGTTCTTCCATCAACCTTGGGGTTGGAGAGCCTTAAAAGGGGTTGTCTGAGATTAAACGGTAGTTATTCTGCTGGTTTGTGGATTTTCTTTTTTTTTTCTTTTTTGGTTTTATTCATATTTAATGTTTCATAAATGGTAATGACTGTGGAAGAGATGCACAAAAGTTATTTGTAATCAATCGACACACTTCAACAATATGTAACGAAATATGATATTTTGGATTGTTACTATGTTTGTAGGCTACTCAGAATCACCTTTTCTGAGAGGAGCAATTATATAAATTGGCTAAATCAATTAATCAGTGGTAGCTTAGGAGAAAAATGGCTTAGGAGAATATCTGGGATCAAAGACTAAATTACTTTGATAAAGTATTTAGCTCTCCCCTCCAAATGAATCACTCCGGATTCAAGACCAAAACTCCCAAAAAACTGGAATTGTAATTGTATGAAGTGTGGCAATGACATAGAGTGAACGGCCTAGCAGATAGAGGAAATCTGTAGTAATAATTCATTAGTCAGTAGGAAATAAGAAATAGGAGAAGAAGAAGGATCTCTCAGAAATGTTTATAATCTTGAGTGATTCACACATATTTGCATTTTTGCTTTTATTTTTTCCAGTTTTGGCCCCCTTAACATTCGTCGCTTTTGTGCAGCTTATCATATTTCGCTATGTTATTCGGAAGAAAATATGGAGTGTAAGTAATTGACGGATATGCAGACACAATACCTTCTGCTGTGGGTCAGTATGTATCTGGGAACAGCAACAGTGATTGCATCATCATTGCTCACCAAAAGGGAGATGCATTAAAAAGAATGAAGCATTGCCTTGATGATGGAGATGCCATTCCTATGGTATTGAACCTGGGTACTTGAGAGACCGCCTGCTGCCAATTACCTCCCAAAGACCCATTAGATCACACAG